TCTGCCGGGGCCGCCTTGGTGGGGCTGGTCCTCAGTTCACAGAGCCTGGCCGGAGGAAGCACAGCCTGCGGGCGCGGGCGGCCTTGAGAGCAGGGGAGCAGGGGGCCTCGGAGTCTCTAGCTGGGCCCCCTCCTCCCCACCCCCGTGACTGCAGTGCCACCTGACCAGGACGGACTCTCGCCCTCACCCTGAAATCCCGCCGCGTGGAGCTCTCTGCGGCCCGGGATGCCGCCCTTCTGGCTCCGGCCCGGCGTTTCTCACCTGCCTCGTTCCTTGACCACATTTGCTGCTGCTCCAGGGTGGGCCAGAAATAGCCCGGCGAGCAGCAGGCGGCAGCCATCGCAGCTCCAGGGGGCCGGAGAGCAGGTGCGGCTGGGTTCCCGACTGCCAGCTGCCACCACGCGCCTCAGGCGGCTTTTTTCGGGGTGCAGGCAAGGCTCCTCCCCGGCCAGCACAGCCCTGCCGCACCTGACTCGGGACAGTGCTGCTTCCGGCCTCTGCGTCCCCACTCTGTCACCCAAGCTTGGCTGCCCGCCAGCGTGGGGCCGCTGCAGCACAGATGCCACTTGAGTCCTCAGCTGACCCTGTGATCTGACAGGTGTGACACCATCACGCCAGGTCCCAAGCGGGCATGGTGAGGTGTGCCTTCCTGCGCCACCTCAGTTTCCGCAGCCCTCAGGGGGTTCAGTCCCCGCCCTCACAGGTGAAGGAGTGGGGGGCCCAGAGAGGTTCAGTGAGTGATCTGAGGTCACACAGCCGTCAAGAGCAGAGCTGGACTCTGAGCCCCACACTCATGCACAGGGCCTGCGATCCCAACCACGCAGTGCTCCTGTGTCCTCTGCTCCCCTCTGCCCAGGGGTGGGGTGAAGGGAGAGACGACCTGGAGGCTGACACTGGCCAACTGGGCACAGCAGCACAGTGCTTGCTGGACTGTGGACAGCCGCGGCCCGTGTGTTGTGGCCGCACCTCGGGCTGCGCTGGCTGTTCCCGAGGTCCCCCTGCGTGGCTGCGCTCTCGGCCACTGTGCGGTGGTCACAGCCACCTGCACAGCTGACAGAGTCTGGCTTCCAGCGCGGTGCTCCGCCCTCCCCTCATCTCCTCAGGCCTCACCCTGCTCCTTGGCTTCAGGGTCCCTTCTTGTACCCCAGTGGACACCGGTAGGGAGCCTGTGGTTCCTGGCCCACCAAACCCCCTGGCAGTGGCACTGTAGAACTGGCCCTCACTCCTGGATCTTGTCCTTACGGAGAGCTCCTTGGGAAATGTAGGTCTGACTGCGGCCTGAGAACCTGGGCTTGGGGTCCGTGCCTGGCCTCAAGATGGGCCTGCTCCGGGCCACCTGATGCCAGCCCCTCCCAAGGCCTGGCCACATCGCTCTGCTCTCCCGCCCCTGCGCCTGCCGCTGCACTGTGGCCGCAGCAGTCCCGCCGGTCCCCGTCCTGCAGCTGGGCGTCTGGGTGTGACACGGTGACACTTCTCTGCCGGGTGAGGCACAGTAGGCCTGTCCTTTGTCGGGCCGGCAGGCAGGATTTGGAAGACTTGGGGCATCGCGCTGCTTACCCAGGTCAGGAAGGCCTCGCTGGCCACCCAGGCTGGCATGAGCAGGAGGCACAGGAGCCCCCGTGAGCCAGGGAGGTCTCTGTATCCTGCGAGCACTTGGCTGAAGTTAGGGCCCTTTGGTGAGCACTGGCTGCGTGGAACAGGCAGGAAGCTGTGATTGCTGTCTCAGCAGCACAGGGTGCGGGGGACCCCCGCGTGGGACTCCGGGGCGCCCATCGTGCGTGGTGCCCACGGCCCGCGATGCTTCCTTGAGCCGTGTGTGCACACAAGTCCTCCGCAGCTCTGAGGTGTGGGCGTCTTGTCCCCGGCTCAGCCTCAGGACCCCTGTCCGCGCCCGCGCCCTCTCGGAGATGTCCCGCAGGTGTCCCTAGATGCTCGCGGTGAAGACACCTCGAGGCTTGGGATTCCTAAGCTTTGATCTCCCCCCACGAGTCATGAGCCAGGGAGAGAGGAAGAGGAGATTTGAGCCTTTGCCACCCACGGTCCCACACTTAAGCTGCATCAGTAATTGAGTGCTATTAGGCCAAATTAATTTGCCTCCTGCAGGGAGGTTTATGGTGAATGAAAGAGTGGCTCATGGGGGAGGGAGCCAGCCTGCCCTCCTCGGGCATCGATATTGCATAGCCCTCGGCGGTGTCGGTGTCGGGAAGTCAGATGGCCTGGCTCTGAGGATGAGACGTGAGACAGAGCCAGTGGGTGTGTGAGGGGCTTACCGCAAGGGGAAGTTGGCTGAAGGCCCCAGCCAGGTTAACTGCTTGTGTGCTAGGCTGGTGGGAGCCCGGGCGGGGCCCAGGGAGGGGCCACTGCTCCTGACGCTGGGCAGCGCTGTGGCGGTGTCGGCTGTCCATGCCTGCTGGGTGCTGCCTGCCCGCCCCACAGGGCTTCCCGGGAGTGCGGCTGTGCGTCTGGGCCCCACACCGCCTCGTGATTGATGGACGCCTGGGCTTCTTGCGGTGCAGCGGGAGGAAAGTGGGTGCTGCTGTGCTCAGAGGCTGGGGCGGGAAGGCTGCTAGAGCCCAGGAATTCGGGGTAGACCTAGGCAGCAAAGTGAGGCCCTGTCAAAAACTGAGCTAGGACCCGGGAAAGGATGCTAACAGACTTTTCATTTGGTTGTTCTCCCTAGCTGCTATCAACTTAGCAAAGCTGAAGCTTTTCAGACACTACTACGTCTTGGTGAGTAAAAGGAATCCTGAGCCTCGTGAGTAGTCCATTCCTGGAGCAGAGCAAATGAAATTGGAAGATGTGGGGAGGCATGAGGGGTTGAGCTGCCCGGCCCTGCTCGGCTCTGCTTAATAACAGCAGCTCATGTCTCTTAAAGCAGAAATTAAACGTCTGGATCACTTCTTCCTAAGTTTTAGTTTCAGATCTGGTTTGAAATACATAGAAAAGTAGCCAGGCATAGGTGTGCACATCTGTAATCCCAGCACTCAGGAGGCTGAGACAGGAGGACTTCCCTGAGATTCGTGGCCAACCTGGACCGCACAGTGAGTTCAAGGCCAGTCTGAACTACATAGCGAGACCGTGCCTCAGAAGAACAAAGTGAAACAACCAAAACCAACTTAGGAAAGTAATGCGTACTCGATGTAAAAGCGGAACACAGGAACTCTAGCAGCCCCGCCAGGCCCCAGGGTTCTGGGTCCCAGCCAGGCACTCGTCCCTTCCGCTCCTCCTGGCCTCTGCCTCACCAGGTTGTTCATGTAAGAGAACAGGCTCGCGCTGCAGCCTCTGCCACAGCCTGTTCCCTCTCACTGAGAGTCATCAGAGCCTCCCCGCCGCCAGATCCCCTGCCGGAAGCTGGTCTTGTGTTGTGGTAATATTTCCCTTAGGGATGGAGAACTGAGGCAGTTTCTGTAAAACCTAAACCCCAGGTGGTGTTGGACGTGCAGCCAGCTGTGGCCCCGCTCTGGACAGGACTGCGGAGCTGCAGGCTTTGCCTCTGACTCCTCTCAGGCCTTCCCAGCGAGCCCTGCGCTCTGGCATTGAGTGTCCTGGTGGACGGCACTTGCATCTGAGCAGCCGTTTGCAGCTTCAGTAGGGCAGCGGAGACAGGCGGCCCACTCGGGCTCTGGTTTTAGCAAGGAACGGTGTCATCCCCCAGAACAGGGACCCCTTCTGGGCTCCCAGGCCTGTCCTGCGCACCGAGCTTAGTCCCCGGGAACCTGCTGTGCCGCGGGCGGCAGGGTGAGAGACTAGGCCCCTTCCAAGCGGGGCCTCCGTGCTTAGCCCTGGAGAGACTGGAGAGTCCACGTCTTCCCTGGGGACCGGTAGCTGTTCCTCCACTCCCGAGGGTGACAAGCCTGGGGGTGTGGCCAGGCGAGGAAGGCCAGTCCTTCTCCAGGGTTTGGGGTGGCCCTGCCGGGTGTCTTGGTCACCTAGAGACAGGAAGAACTTTCCAGTGGACCAGCAGGTGCCGCCTCTCCGCACATCATTAGCCAGCACTGTAGTTGTGGGTGGGGGCTCTGAACCTCACCTCTCCGGGTTTCCTTCTGTCTTCCTTTTCTGCAGATCGTGTGTTACATATACTTCACCAGGATCATCGCCTTCCTCCTGAAGCTGGCCGTCCCCTTCCAGTGGAAGTGGCTTTACCAGGTGTGCCAATCTTGGACACCATGGGGGCCGCGGGCGTGTGTCGGGGACAGTCTTGGGCATGGCTTCTGCTTGCTCTCGTTTATGGGGATGGCCGCCTGGACCTTGCAGCACTGCTAGACACTTAGGTTTCTGTTTATCCAAGGAGGCTGCTGGGTTACCCGAGCAATTGAGAGAGAATTACATTATTGGTCTTGGTTTTTGATTCACAAACTCTCAGGCAGAAAGAGTAATAGAAAGTTAGAGGAGACCTGGTTTTCACCTTCAGCTGCAGGGCTCTGAGAGGTTCAGAACCCTGCTCTCCTCACTCTGTGCCTCTGATACTAGTCATGCAAAGCCTTTGCGATGGCCACCAGGTGACTTACACACCCTTTTTCTTGAAGAACTCACCCTGTGCCTCAGGCACTGTAGGAAAATGTGCTGTAAAATGACTTCTTAAAAGGTACCAGTGAACTGGGCATGGGTGTGCCTGCCTATAATCCTGCAGTGGGAGGCTGAGGCAGGAGGATCATGAGTTAGGCAATTTAGTGACTTAGTGAAACCCCATCTCAAAATAAAGGGCTGGGAATGTAACTCAGCAGGAAGGCCCTGGCTTTGATTCTCACTACTGTAAAAATGAAAGGTACCCGTGTCCAGGCCGGGGATGTGGCTCTGGTAGAGCACGGGTCCCATGTGCGTGAGGCTCTGGGCTCCGTACCCTAGCAGCCCACCCTCCAGCAAGAAGCTGTCCCCCTGGGACACTTCAGCGGCCCCTCTTCAGTGTGGTCCTGGCTGACGCCCGGGCCGAGGAGACACCGGGAACAGAAGCTGCCGCGTCGCCCAGTACCCAGCGGGCAGAGGCGGACGGCCTTGCTCGGCTGGCTTAGTGCCTCCGCTCTCTGAGGAGCAGCCGCTAAGTCTGCTTTTCAAATTCACAGCTCCTGGATGAGATGGCCACGCTGGTGTTCTTTGTCCTGACGGGGTACAAGTTCCGGCCGGCTTCAGACAACCCCTATCTGCAGCTGTCTCAGGAGGACGAGGACCTGGAGATGGAATCTGTGTGAGCGGCCTCCCTCTTCCTGTCTCCCCTCGCTGCCCCACTCTGCTGCTCCGCAGAAGGCCGTGGACGTGGGCCCCAGGTGCCTCCGCCCATTTGGAAGCACAGTGTCGCAGGGAAACGGGACTGGCAGGAGCTAGGCCCGTCCTGTGCCAGTTCCGGTCTCTGAGTGTTGGATGGCGCCCACGTGCCACCCGTGGGTGTCCCTGCACCGTGCACCGTCCTGTGACGGGGAAGAGGCTCCAGTTGTGCTGCTTTCCCAGGGTGTGGTGGGAAAGAGTGAGGCGAGGTCCCCGGCGGGGGGCAGCGTCCGCGTGTGCGGTGGCACAGGGTCGGAGCCCGCGTCCCCAGGCGGTGCTGTGTACAGGGAGGAGTGCTGTGCCCAGAGCTCAGCAGAGGGGTGGGCACGGGGCTTCCCGGCTCTGCTCTGCGGGCCTGTGCGGCACTGAGAGGAGACACGGGGGCTGGGCGTGCAGCAAGGGCCAGGTGGCACCTCTGACGTCCTCCAGATGGAACCCGCACTGCCTCAGCGTTGGGGAAGGTGGGCAGGGCTTGGTGGGACAGCAGTGAGCCTGAGTCCTGCCCTGCGTCCCTGGGGGCCTGGGCTACTCCTCTCTGTCCGGAGTGGGAGTGTGGGGTGTGGAGACCTGGTATGAATCCTGCCGCTGGGTCCCAGAGCTGAGCGAGCTCCTGTGGGCCCAGAGGGCCTGCAGGGCCTCTGCCTCCTCCCTTTCTCTGCCTGAGCTGCCGTTTGTGTGGCCTGTTCCCCTCTGAGCCCACAGCTTCTGTCTGTTAGGAAAGAGGATGGTCCCAAGTCACACTAATTTGCCAACTTTTACCCTCTTCCATTTCTCTTTGGGCCTGCCAGTGAGGGGGCTGGCCTTGAACTTGTGATCCTCCTGACTCAGCCTCCCCAGTGCTGAGATAAACATGCAACACCGCGTCCCATGGGCCCACTGATTTCAGTAACCGAGTTTGTGGTAAACAAAGACCGAGCAGGTTGGGGAGAGTGGGAGGAAGTGTCACCAGCCCTGGTGGCCCTCATGCTGTGCCCTCCCTGGTGATCTGAGTGATCACCTCTGTGGGTGGGGGCCTGGTCCCCCGGGTCCCCTTCCTGAGCCCCGCCTGCATGCTCCAGGTCAGTTCTTCAGTGCACAATTCTGCGTGAAATGTAGGATACCAGAGAGGCCTGCAGCGCCGGTCAGCCCCACTACATGTGCCCGCCTGGGGGCTGTGGGGCCGAGTCTCCTGCAGTGCCCCGTCACCCCAGTCTGTCTCTGCAGGCTGCCCCTGCCGGGCAGCATCCACGCCGGTCCTGCTGTCCCACCCCTGACTCCTGCTGGGCTCCCGGCCCTGCCCTGTCTCCCGCTCCGAGCACCCAGCCCTTTGGCGCTCTGGGTCTTGGGCCACCTGCCCTCGTCCTCCCAGGTCCTGCTGCCCCTTCCTTGTCATGCCCAGCCTGCTGCGGCCTTCGTGGCAGGCTCCACCCCGTCCCCAGGGCAGTGGGGCGCTGCCTGCGGCCTCCCTCCTCCTGGAGCAAGCGGCCGCTGCCCTTGTAGGCCGGACCTCCTTGGTGGCTGGTGGGTGTGGCCCTGCAGGGCCACTTTCCGAGCTGCGCCCGAGACCAAGTTGTGCTGGGCCTGCGGTCTGCCCAGGTGCCCAGCCGGCTGGCAGCACTCCTGCAGCTCGGGGGTCAGTGGCCCGGCTCAGTTCTTGGGGGCTCCCCGGAAAGCAAGGAGGAGACCTCCACCCCTGTGACTTTGTTGTTCACACGGCCCTGCGAGGATTGAACCCGGGGCCTTCGCACTGAGCTAAACCCTAGGCCCGTTTTTAGGGTTCAGTTTGATCAGTTAAGCTATTTATTCTGGAGACAGGGTCTCGTGGCCTCGTCGGGTTTCCCGCTGACGAGGCCTTGTCCCTTCTGCAGGGTGACGACGTCGGGGGTGATGGAGAACATGAAGAAAGTCAAGAAGGTGACCAACGGCTCGGTGGAGCCCCAGGCCGACTGGGAAGGCACCGCGTGAGGGCTGACGCGGGCGACACGGACGGCGGAGACGGCTGACCTATCCGTGGTCCCCGAGGGAGCAGCAGCGGTCCCAATGGCAGACGGACGCCACCTCTGCACCCGCACTGACCGGCGGCCGGGGCTGCCCTCGGGGGGTGGGAGGAGGCGCGGGAGCGCGGACTCTGCTCCAGTGACTTCCTCACACCGCAGCGCTAGGCACAGACAGTGGTGACCTGAGGGGGCAGAGCATGGAAAGGCACGGGTGGCAGGGAGGGCGGGCACTGCTTCCGGACACGGCCAGTGGCCTCAGGACACGGGGGAGAGGAGGACATTGTATCTTTGGGACAAAAGTGAGTGACATCTCGGAAAGCGAAGTCAAACCCAGCGCGGTAGGTAGGCCTATCCGGCGGCGGCTACCTGGAGCACGGACCTGTGGGCCGGGGACGTGGGCTGTACTTTCCAGGAGGGCTCGGTCCGCGGTGGCTGCCGGTGCCCTCGGCCTGCAGCCCTGGGACGTGGCCCGGCGGTGGGGAGCAGCTTTCTCGGTTGAGGTGGCAGCACGAGCCGGGAGTGTCCCTTGCAGGGTTTCCCCGGACTCCGGATCTCCTCGGCCCCGCTGTCCTCTGCGGCTTGCATCTGTTTTTAGGGTCAGATTTCGGGAGTGAACGAGGAGGAATCTTCCTCAAGCAGCAGCTGGGGCAGAGGGGCAGTGGGTAAGCAGCGCTTCAGGGCAGCCAGATCCTCATTAAAGAAAAAGCTTTTCCTGTGGGCCAGGCAGGACTTCGACTGGAGCGTTCGCCATCACCAGGACCGGCTGCCAGCTCGGGGAGGGAACGAGTCGCAGAGAAGCCCCCCGCAGTCCCCGCACGAGTCAGCCTGCGGGGCTGCTTGGGTGAGCAGTGTCACAGCCGGGCGACCATCCCCGAGCACGGCCCACTCTCGAGAGGTCACCTGTGGAGCGGTAGCGGGAACCGGAGTGCGGAGCTCGGGGC